ATCATTCATAAAGTTTGATAATCTTTACTTAATAGTGTATTACTCTGTACTGTAGAGAATATACAGCATGTATTCTCTGAATATTTGCAAATAATACCTTTTTAATTTTTATGCAAGCCAAACAATAACAATAAAATAAAATTGTACAATGTACAATTGTAAAGTTGTAAAATAAATGTAAAATTGTAAAATAAAATTATACAATGGTTGCATAACTCTAAGAACATACTAAAAACCACTGAATTATTTAAATTATTATCCAAAGAAATTACATTGAGTGGGATTTAACCTTTTAAATCACAATACATTCAGTTCAGTTCAGTTCCTCAGTCGTGTCCAACTCTTTGCGACTCCAAGACTGCAGCACACCCGGCTTCCCTGTCCATCACCAATTCCTGGAGCTTGTTCAAACCCATGTTCATTGAGTTGGTGATGCCATCCAACCATCTCATTGTCTGTTGTCCCCTTCTCCTCCTGCCTTCAATCTTGCCCAGCATCAGGGTCTTTTCCAATGAGTCAGTTCTTCGCAGCAGGTGGACAAAGGATTGGAGCTTCAGCTTCAACATCAGTCCTTCCAATGAACACCCAGGACTAATATCCTTTAGGACTGACTGGTTTGATCTCCTTGCAGTCCAAGGGACTCTCAAGAGTCTTCTCCAACACCACAGTTCAAAAGCATCAATTCTTTGGTGCTAAGCTTTCTTTATGATCCAACTCTCAAATCCATACATGACTACTGAAAAAAACCATAGCTTTGACTAGATGAACTTTTGCTGGCGGAAATTTTTAAACACATGCAAACTCTCACATTGCCTAATTCTTTCTCATCAAACCAACTATAATATAGATAAAATGGAGTAACTTTCATTAATTTTCCTACAAATGAAAAAGATTGATAGGTTGCAAATTATGCATGATTTTCAATTACAAGTAAGCTAGACAGAAGTATCTACATTATTCAAAGTTAAGGAATGGTTATGGATATTTCTCTCTATGTTAGAAGTTACATGCCTTTTTTTTTTTCTTTGCTCTCTCCTTCAAGATCACATCTCATCCTGGGACTTCCCTGGTGGTCCAGGGACTAGGACTCCATGCACCCAAGTTCAATCCCTGGGCAGGGAACCAGATCCCACATGCTGCAACTAAGAGTTTGCACATTGCAACTAAGGATTCCATATACCTCAACTAAACATCCCAAGTGCTACAGCTAAGATCAGTGCAGCCAAATAAAAAATATTAAAAAAAAAAAAAAGAACTCATCTGATCCTACCATCACCACTCCAGTTCACAGACCCTGTCTTTGACTCCATCTTTCAACATCCAGCTGTGGCATCTCTTCCATGGAGCCTCCCCAGATTGCTCAGGCACCATGAGCAATTTTAAAAGTTTATGTGCTTCCCTGGTGGTTCAAACGGTAGAGTCTGCCTGCAATGCAGAAGACCCGGGTTCAATCCCTGGGTCAGAAAGATCCCCTGGAGAAGGAAATGGCAACCCACTCCAGTATCCTTGCCTGGAGAATCCCATGGACAGAGGAGCCTGGCGGACTACAGTCCATGGGGTTGCAAAGAGTCGGACACGACTGAGCAACTTCACTTTCACTTTTCAATGCTTATGTCACCAGCCTGTGGCTGGGTGGCATTACTAAGAATAGTCAAGCTTTCTGTTGACCACTTGTCATGGATGCTGTTCAGGTACTGAATGGAGAATTGGATTCAATCTCCTGAGAACCTGATTATCATTTTTTTATACTTGCAACTAGATCAAGGACTTCTTTTCCAATTTTTAAAAAATGTTTATTTACTTGGCTGCATTGGTCTTAGTTGTGGCATGTGGGATCTTTGTAGCATCACGAGGGATCTTTTGTTGCGGTGCATGGACTCTCTAGTGGCACGCAGCCTCAGTAGTTGCAGTGCTCAGGCTTAGTTGCTCTGTGGCTCGTGGGGTCTTTAGTTCCCCAGCCAAGGATTGAACCCACGTCCCCTGCGTTGGTAGGCGAATTCTTAACCACTGAGCCACCAGGGAAGTCCCCAAGACCATGGACTTCTTTTAACAGTTATCACATGCTGTTTTTCCTCTTCACATCCTACAGTGGCCATTTAACAACCTTTATTATTTACATGAGGGTTATGAAGTTTTATCTACTACGGTTATCCTAGTGGACTGTAACACAGGTTGCATCCACTCATGTAGAAGGAAAAGATCTCCCCTGAATTGAGAATTCATTTTTCAGTTATCTGGGTAAAAGGCCTATGTCTGAAACTGGAAATGGAAACCAGGAAAGTCAAGACTGGGCACCCTTGATTTTAATGGCAGCAGGGCCAGGAAGACAGCTCCCTGGGGGTGGTGGCCATTGCATCATTATAAGGCAACTATCAAAGAGTCAGAAAAGGAGGGAAATTGGCTAGGTGCCATTACAGCTACAGGGCAAATACCCCAAAGGCCTGGACCCAGGATCAGAAAGCAGTAGTCTGTAAGCTTTGAAAACAAATGTTTTGACATCCTCCAAATTTCCCTTTTGTTTCCTACATGTATTAGGTGAAGTTGTTTTGAAAATCCAGTCTTCTTTAGCTCTGTCATGGGAAATGAATGAAAGGTTTTGCCTTTGCCTCAGCAACAGGGAACCAGAAAAGAGGGCCAGGGGGCAACACATAGGCTTGTCAAACAAACCTCATGGGGGACTTCACTGATGATCCAGTTGTCAGGACTCCACACTTCCAAAGCAGAGGACATGAGTTCGTTCCCTGGTTGGAGAACTAAGAGTCCGCACGCTGCGAGGCACAGCCAAAAATAATGATTAAAAAAAGAGAGAGAGAAGAAGAAGCCTTATGGAATGGAGAAATTTGGCAGAAGAATAGCATCCATCTGGCCTATTCTAAACCCCAGAAGGTCAAGAGCGTGTTTTATCAAGGAGGGCAGCATTTTAAAACAAACATTGCATTATTTCGAATGAGTTCCATTTCTCACACTAAAGCACAAAAAGACTCTTGAGAAAAATTAAAATGGTATTATTTGAAAAAATTCAGAGAATACATGCTACATATCTCTGCAGTATGGAGTAACACATTATTGAGTCAAGATTATCAAACTTTTATGAATAATAAGCTTTTCGCCCTTCCCCCAAGGTTTGTTTTCGCAAACGTTTTCCCAAAAACTACTCTTCCATTGTAAGTAGTGCTGAAGCTGATCTAGAACACTGTCAAACAGCCCTTACTATAGTTACTCTGGATATGTCTTTTTTTTTTAACTAGATAAATTGATTGATCGATCTCTAGTTGTGGCTTGTGGGTTCCAGAGCCTGGCCTCAGTAATTACAGCACAAGGTAGGGCTTAGCTGCCCCTCAGCATGTGGTATCTTCCCAGACCAGGGATTGAACCTATGTCCCCTGCATTGGCAGGTAGATTCTTAACTATTGACCACCAGGGAAGTCCTGGATATACTTTTTAAATGATAAAACATGTCTTACATGTTGTGAAATAGCTCTTCTGTTGTATGAACTACTTTTTAAACTATACAAAACACCATTTATTTTAGAATTAAACTCTCTAGAAATGTCCTTACTCTTGCCCCAATGATGTAAAATATATTAATATCTATTAGATTCAGATAAATCAGATAAATATGATTATTTAAAAGTCATATTAAATGTCATATATTTATGACATATAAATTTAAATTACAAGCTATATAAATTATATGCTTAAATATTTAGGCAAACAAGCTTAAATTAATCTTAAATATAAAGTCTCAAGATAAATATATTAACATTGCAATGTTCCACATCTTTAAATTTGTGAAACACTCCATTGGAAACAACAGAATAGTGATGCAATTCTTGGATGAAAATTGCTAAAACTTCTTAAAATAGTCACGTAATTTTTAAATCCACTGACTTTGAAGATAGAAATGAAAAACTGGATTGAGTTTCTCATGTCAACCTTAAAAATTACCCATAAAGACTTACATTAAAGCAGCAATTTTAAAAAAATATATCATCAGTGTGAATTTCAGGATAAGTATTTTCCCTGAAACTTTATGGAATTGAGTTCTTTCTTCCAGAAGAAAACTTGCTAATTTTTTTTTAGAAACTTCATTCAATATATTTCTTTTTAAAGTCAATTATTTTGTACATTTCATATATCTAGGAAATGGGATATTTAACCAAGTGAATATGCTAAAATCTAAAAAACATTAACCAAAAAAACCCCAAAACCTTGAAAACTATAAAAATAGAAAACATCAGTAAAATATACTCTATTCAGGACCACTGATCATACACTATTTTTTAATATATAAAATGTACTTGCAGAGATTTAATATTAGCATAACAATAAATTATTCTACAATATTTTGGGGTGGGGAACCTGTTTATTCAAACTTTCTGATTGAATTAGGTGTAAACAAAAATTTACTGTCAGGACTGTTTTTGGTATAAAAAATAATCTGATCCAAAAGTGTTTAGGAGACAACCTGAGATTTTTAAAAGAGATGTATACCATCAAAATGGGGGTTTTCTACATCAACCGGCAATGAAATATTAGACCAGAAATAGTAATGATTATAAAATGCCACTTTGCCACTATCATTGATATTAACCAAGTAGTAGAGGAGTCAAAACGGAATAGGAAATGGCAACCCACTCCAGAATTCTTGCCTGGAAGCTTCCACGGAGAGAGGAGCCTGGCAGGCTACAGTCCATGGGGTCGCAAAGAGTCGGGCACAACTGAGCACCACCACCATTAGAGAAGTGAAGATATTATAGAATTAATACTTTCAGATTAGTATGGGGAAAAAAAGCATATTTGGATAAAATTGAAAGTTAAAAAGTTAAAAGTTAAAAATTGAAAAGTTAGTTTAATTGCTAATTAAAAAGCAGTCAGGTCTATAGGAAAGTAAATCTTCAAAAGGGAGCAGGTAACTGGTAAGCAGAGTATTTTATCTGCAGGCAATTCGCTGTGTTTAAGGGGAAAAAACTAGTCCCTTTCAGGGAGTTCTTGACTTGTCATTTCTCTGGGGGCTTTTCAACTTCATTTGTCCCCTTTGTGCGACGGAAAACAAAAGCTGACTTGAAGGTGCCATCACCATCCTGTTGTGAAAAGCAGAGGAAGGTGGCCCACAGAAAACTACAGAGTCCAGTGTAAGCTGTTCGCCAGCGAATGGCAATGAGGCTGAAGTTGGTCAGCTGTAACAGACAGAACACATCTGTGAGCGCTCCGTGTAAACCAAACCCACGAACTAGCGTTCTTAGTAGTTTGAAACTCACCTGTACAAAAGGCCAGTACATCAGACCACTCTGGAATAAAGAAAAACTTTATTAGGATGCTTTTAAATTGCACAAAGTGATCACACAGCTTGTTCTATGTGTGTGAGTACTAGTTGCTTAGTCATGTCCGACACTTTGCAACCCCTTAGACTGAAGCCCACCAGGCCCCTCTGTCCATGGGATTCTCCAGGCAAGAACACTGGAGTGGGTTGCCATTTTCTTCTCCAAAAGGAGCTAAAGAAAGAAAGAAAGTGAAGTCGCTCAGTCATGTCCGACTCTGTGCGACCCCAGGGACTGTAGCCTACCAGGCTCCCGCATCCATGGAATTTTCCAGGCAAGAGTACTGCAGTGGGTTGACATTTCCTTCTCCAAGTTTGTTCTATAAAGTATTAAAAAAACAGCCACCAGACAACAAAATAAATAAATAAATAAAAGCAAAGATGAAACAATTGTTTAAAAAAGAAACACCAGGCAGGAAGAATGTGGAGGTGGTAGTATATTTCAGACTAAGCAGATTAAATTAGACTACTTACGGTCTCTCAAGTGGAAGAGGGTGGGAAGTTGTACAGAAAGTTGTTAGGCACAGGAATAAAGACTTTTATTAGTTATAGTCATAGATCTAGACTATAGAAAAGTCTACCTGAATGAGGACCAATTCTGGAAGACAACTGCTTTCAAATCATTGTTAACAACATGTATTTATATATTGCAGTTTTTCTGTTTGCTCACGCAAATGATTCAGGGAAATACCGATAAAACACAGGATCATCAGGGAATTTTTGAAACCACAGACCAAACCCACTTCGTGGTGATTTTTCTAATAATGTATTCTAGCTACTTCATGCTAGAGAATAAGTTTAGCTTTCAAGATGAATTTATTTTAACAGGCTTTATTTAACCTGTTGGTTCAGGTTTCCCAGGTAACAGTGGTAAAGAATCCGCCTTCCAATTCAGGAGACACAGGTTTGATCCCTGAGTTGGGAAGATTCCCTGGAGAAGGAAAGGGCAACCCACTCCAGTATTCTTGCCTGGGAAATCCCATGGACAGAGGAGGCCGGCGGGCTACAGTCCACGGAGTGGCAAAAGAGTCAGACATGACTTAGCGATTAAACAACTGAGTATACAGTACAAGAGGTGACTTGTTTCAAGCCCTGGAATAACCCTGAGAAACATTTTCCTTTTCTGTAAATACCATTGTGAAGTTAAGAAGATTCCTTTCACAGGGACTCAGCAGAATGTATACCTGGAAACATCGGCTCTAAATGTGGGAATGATTCCATTAAGCCACTCACATTTTACTATTCCTATTTTGCAATAACCTCTTTGACTCCAAAAATCACTGTAATCACCAACAAGAATAAATATAAGAATGTCAGAAATCATTGTGAACACTGAATAAAATTCAGAGACACATATAGACATTCTTAAAGCCTCTCCTTCAACCATTAAAACAAATCTAAAATTCATCAAAATATTGTGCCCTTGTGTCAACCATCTGGAGTCCTAATTTAAGAATTTTTTTTTCATTTATTTTTATTAGTTGGAGGCTAATTACTTTACAATATTGTAGTGGTTTTTGTCATACATTGACATGAATCAGCCATGTATTTACATATATTCCCCATTTTTATTTAAATGTACTTTATGTTAAAAAGATACAAAAAAGGACTTCCACGAATCTGCCTTCCAGTTCAGGGATGAAGTTTCTGTCCCTAATGGGGAACTAAAATCTCACATGCCTCGAGGCAACTAAGCCTGCACACCACAATGAAAGATCCCGAGTGCGGAAACTAAGGCACAACACAGCCAAATAAATAAATATTTTTAAAAAAAAGATACAGAAAGATTATGGTTGTATTTTCAAAAGTCTGTCTTACCTTATACGTATTCCAGAATTTCTGTCTCATGTCCAAAAATATGTCATCCTTTCCCTGGAGAATACTCATACCTATTTGCAAAAACACACACCAAAAGAATTTTAATAAGATTCAATAGGAAGAATACTGTGTAACAGTTCACGTTCAAGTTTTCTATTCCAATATGCACGGTGACCACTGCTATCACTCACTCAGTATGTCCCATCTGACCCAACGGTGAAAACAGAAGACAATCTGCATGCTAAAACTGGATACATTTTAAAGTGACGATTAATATGAAGTGACAATAGCAGGGTATGAGGTTATAGCAGAATTATTGTTTTAAAAAAAACTGTAAGAGAATTCACAAAAACCTCAATATAATCATAGTGGGACTATTGGTGACATTTTTCCTCTCCTTTCAAAAGATTTTTTGAAATTCTTAAGTTTTTTAAAAATTGATTTCCTGCTTTTACAGAAAGGCTGCCAGACCCTGGGTGTTCTAGAACTTCAGATTTCCCATCTAAAGAGGCTTTCGAATTGGAATTTGAAAGCGGAACATCAATTTAGTGCTCCTAAAAACATGTGGAAACCTTTGATGTTCAACAACCCTGAAAAAGAAGTCAGGGGAAAAGAATAAAACCCTCTTATTTTAGGAAGGGTGTAAAAATGAGTGCTTTATTTTATTTTTTTCAGACAAGGTTTTATTGGAGCTCTGGGTGCATCAGGAAGGGAGTCAAACAAGTGACAAGATCCAAGAGTGCTTTAAAAATTCTCCCCCAACTCTGATTAGGAGGAAGGGGAAATAAAATCTTTTAAGTCAATTGCAGGGGATTCTTAAAACAGGACTTACAAGAAAACTGAGCCCAATATTGGTAATACTGCACTCCACTTACACAGCAGTAACTAAGGGCTAAGCACTTTACGTGCTTTCTTTCATAACCCTGGGCAAAAAAGGATGGTCAAGTTACAAAGGAGGAAAAGCGCTCGGGGAGGCTGATTGTGATCCAAGCGCAACCCAGGTGTGGATCCTGAACCAGATCTCATAATCACAGCTATTCTAGCTTCCAAGGGAGCCCCAGCACAAAGGATCATCTAAGACAGGCAATTTCCAAGTCTAAAAAGCCTTGAACAGACATCCAACCTACCCCATCCTACCATCCCCACTTCATTTTTACAGGAGGAAAGAAAAGTAGGGTCCAGAAATGTGAATAGAAAAAGAAGTCGTGTGGGCAGGAATCTGTTTCAGGGTCCTGGGGCTTGACCCACACGCCCCAGCAGCCCTATGACTGTAGCATCCTTCTGGTTTCAGGCATACTGACATTCTCCAGAGAGATGAAGACAATGCCATGAATTGCGTTTGTTTCCGGCAAATCCTTTTTCTCCTATGAGCCTCAGTTTCCGTGTGTGTGTGTGTGTGTGTGTGTGAGTCACTCATTTGTGTCCGACTCTTTGTGACCACATAGACTGCAGCCTGCCAGGCTCTTCTGCCCATAGTATCCTCCAGGCAAGAGTACTGGAGTGGGTTGCCATTCCCTCCTCCAGGGGATCATCCCGACCCAGGGATCAAACCTAGGTCTCCTGCATTGCAGGCAGATTCCATACTGTCTGAGCCACCAGGTAAGCCCCTTCCTCACATGTAACATGGGAATGATGGTACCTGCCTCTCTGGGTTTTTTGAGAATTAAACAGGAATCTGGGTCCCAAAAGCCAACACCTCCACCCTCCACCCCATCACCATAGGACAAGGCCACTGCAGCAACAGGTCCGAGGAAACTTAACAAACCTGGCCTGGATGTCACACCCTGGGATAAGGCACAGATCTTCTGATAAACCAGGCAGCTCCCGGTCTCAGGTCCTCTAGGCCCTGACCTCACAGGCGCTATCAACCGTGTGGTTGGCACTGTATCAGGCGTGATTCCTGTGGAATTTGTGAGCAACTCTGGCCCTCAAAATGAGATCCATGGGGCAGTGTGGGTTCCTTCAAAGTGGTAACTTAATCACTTCGACCCGGTTTAGAAGAAAGCACCAAGAGGCACTGACAAGACCCCTTGCGGGGGGAATCTGTGATCCCCAGTGGCAACGTCAGGCCCAGGATCCTTGAATTTTCTTAGTGGATGGGTGCCCCTCCCCTGCTCACTCCGTTGCAAGTGATAGAAAATGCTATGAAGATGAAGGCCACAGAACCCTCTCCACTGTTTTAGAATGTCAGGGTGCTAAGGCAGGTTCCCAAAGTTAGGCCCTCAGGCTCCGCGGTGCACTTTCTGGGGGAGGGGGGAGCTCCCTGCACCCTCACAGGTACAGAGTCCTCTCATCACAGGGGTCTCATAACTTCTCACATTTTCTGTGGGCTTTGATGTGGGGATGGGACTCTCTTTAGGTAAACCTTGTTACAAAAGTAGGAGAATGGCCCTGAAGCACACATTCTGGGGGGAAACAGGTGCGACCCAGAGGCTCAGATGGTAAAGAATCTGCCTGCAATGCAGACCTGGGTTCGATCCCTGCGTTCGGGCAGATCCCCTGGAGAAGGAATTGGCAACCCACTCCAGTACTCTTGCCTGGAGAATCCCATGGACAGAGGAGCCTGGGGAGGCTACAGTCCATGGGGCCACAAAGAGTCGGACACGCCTGAGCGACTAACAGTTGAACACTTAGGCGGGACCTCAGGTTCCCCTGTCTCTGCCCAGACCATCCTGAATCCCCTCACATTTTGTTTTCGTGTTGGAAAGGGTTATCCCTCCAGTGGAAATGAGGCCCCCAGCCCCAGGCGTGAATTTTCCCAGGAGCAGGACCGCCTGCCCCTACCCTCCCCGGACCGTCTCCCCCCCACCCCGCAACCTTGTCATAGGGGTCGCAGCGGCTGTGGGAACCAGCTGGGGGTCTCCTTGATATTCCCGTGCATCTGTTTTTCAGGGGAAAAATGGATCTCCATTCCTGCCTCCCCCAGTTCGGGCCTACGTACACCCCAGGCCCCCTGAAACTTCCAGCCCTAGACTATTTGCAACCCCAGTGTCCCAAATGAGCCCCTCGAGCCCTAATCCCAGGCGTCTCCAGCAACCGCGCCTCAATTTCTTTCCCCTCAACCCCCTTAATCCGCGGTGCCCAGACTTCTCGGTCCTCACACCTCGATCTCCCGCTCTCGCCCCGACCCTCCCAGTCTCCTAACCCTTGGCCCCCACGGGAGGGTTTCCAGCCCCAGACCCCTCCCCACAGAGCCCCAGGCTCCTGCTCCGTCCCAGCCCCAGGAAGCCCCTGCCTCCAGCCCCCCAGTTCCGGATCCGACCCGGTCCCCCAGCTCCGCCTCCAGGTCCCCGCCCGGCTCCTCACCGGCGTAGAAGGTAGAGACGTACACCGGCCCGCCCAGCGCCTGGTCGCATAGCACCTTGGCCAGGATGGTGCGCGGCGCGCGCCCAGGCAGCGCGCGCTCCAGCAGGCGCAGCCACACGTAGTTGAAGTTCGCATGGAAGGCCATGGCCACGGTAGCCACGTGCTGCGTATGTTGCCAGTCGGCCTGGCCGCCCCGCAGCAGCTGCTGCAGCGCGTCGCCGCCCGAGAAGAACCCGGCGTAAAGCAGTATGTTCGCTGGCCAAGGGTAACGCCCGGCGGCGCGTGTGAGCGCCTGCCACCAGCGCACCATGCCGGTTCCCAAGACGCCCCACGAACGCAGGTCGCTGGCTCCCGGGCCTCCGCCCTCCGCTCTGGCAGCCCGCGCACCGCCTCCAGCCACTTGCACCTGCCTCCTCCCGATGCTCGAAGGCGATTGGGCGCCCCGAGCACACCCAATCCCCGCCGGCCAATCCCGTGGCCCCTGGCGATCCTGGGGGCTGAGCTTTTGATGTGCGGTGGGTCCACAAATGCTTGATCCCCTTGCAAGAAACACCCCGAACAGGCAAATCCATTCGGACGGTAGACCAGTCAGGGGCTGGGCGATGGCGCGGAGCGGGTGCGAAGTGACTGCTAACCGGGAGCGGGGTTCTCTTGTGGCGTGATGAAATACCCAGTAATTAGGTAATGGTAACGATTGCTTGGTAACGAAAACCATTGAATGAATTGTGAATTGTGTGGCATGTGAATTATACCTCAAAAACAAACAAACAAAAAGTTTAAAAAAGAAGGAGAAGCTTGGGGAGAAGTGGGCATACCAAAAGCTGGATTACCAAGGTGGCGGTGTATTTTAAATGTTTTTACATGCAAGAGTTTCACAGTTTCGACACCATACAGTGCACTATGTACCAGTCTTTGGAGACAATGTCGGAAATTAACCTCTGAGGCCTTTCCTGAATGTGAGGTGGGATTCAATCCTCTTCAGAGGCTGTGCTTCAATGAATATTACCTCCCAAAACATACCCTGAGTTCCCAGAAGCAGGGGGGGTCACTGGAAACTCAAACAGCAGGTGTAACCTCTGACCTCACGGAAGTCACTTTCTCTTCTTTTTCTCCATTTTTCCTTCCTCCGTGGTCACATCCTATTCCATTTTCGTTTTCTCTCTTTCTCTCTTCTGTTTACCCTATTTCAGTTAATTATTAATTTTTGATTTTTAACTTTTCATTTTGAAATAATGCCAGGCTTTCTGAAATGTTGCAAAAGTAGTACAGAGTTCCTGTATACTCTTCACCCAAGCTTCCCCAGATATTGACATCTTACATAACCATAGTACAATTGTCAGAAGAAAACAGGCACTGATGTAATACCCCGCCTACAGACTTTATTCAAATTACTGCCAATTGCCCCACTAACGTCCTTTTACAAGGACTAGCATTCAATCCTGGATCACTTTGCACTGCATTGAATTGTCACAGAGCACCTTAGTCGCCATCAGGGGCATTAACCAGTTTGTTACAGTTTGTTCCTCAGTTTGTTAGCCCTACTTTATGGGCTGAATTGTTTCCCCACAAAATTCATATGTTGAGGCCCTAAGCCCTAGTACCTCTGAATGTGGCTGTCTTTGGAGAAAGGGCCTTAAAAGAGGTGGTTAAGTTCAAATGAGGCCCTTGGGCTAGGCCCCAATCCAGTCTGACTGGTGTCCTAACAAGAGGAGGAAATCTGGACACAGGAAGAGACACGAGAGCAGCGCATGCCCAGAGGGAAGGTCGTGTAAGGACAGGTGAGAAGGGGGCCACCTACAAGCAAAGGAGACAGGCTTCAGGAAAAACTAAGACAGCTGACACTTTGACCTTGGACTTCAACCTCCAGAACCGTGAGAAAAGAAATTGTTTAACCCACCTAGTCTGTAGTATTTTGTTCTGGCAGCCCTAGCCGATCCACCAATTCTCTTCAGTTCTTGGGATTCTGCCAATTTCCGTGTCCTTTGACGTTTGCTATCTACTCATGTACTGATCTCCATCCCTTCGCACTCCTTGTCGTTGCTACTGGTTCCAAGTAAATCTTCTGTCAGACTTGTCTCCACTTGGCAGGCTCCCGGCATTCACTTTTGTTTGTTTATTACTTAAATTCCCCTTGTATTCTTGTCCTATTGTTTCTGTGACAAGTTACCACAGATCTGTTGTCTTAGAGGCTTGGAGGTCAGAAGTCTAAAATGGACCCACGGACCACCTTCCCTCCAGATGCCCTAGAAGAGAATCCATCTCCCTGCCTTTTCCAGCTTCTAGAGGCCCTCTGCATTCCTGGATGTCTCCTTCTTCTGTCTTCAAAGTCTGTTTCGTAGCATCTTCCAGTCTCTCTTTCTGTCATTCTATCATCACATAGTCTTTTCTGACTCTGACCCATCTATTCTTCCTCTTAGAAGGACCCTGCTGATCACATTCATCCTACCTGGATAATGCAGTTTAACCTCCACATATCTTACCTGTCTGACTCTGCAACCTTAGGGACTGTAGCCTGCCAGGCTCCTCTGTCCATGGGATTTCCCAGGCAAGAATACCAAAGTGGGTTGCCATTTCCTACTCCAGGGGATCTTACTGGCCCAGGAATCAAACCCTTGTCTCTTTTGTCCTGCATTGGCAGGCAGATGATTTACCACTGCAACACCTGGGACATCTTTGGAGGGCTATTATTCATGTCTTACTTCTCTGTAATCCTTTCGATCACTAACAACAGTTGATCACATCAGCTGAAATCAAAGGACCCATATCTCAACAAACTGCGATAGGACCAGCTGTTAACCCAGGCAATCTTTCATTCATTCATTCAGTTGATCAATATTTATTGAGCACGGTTATGGGCCAGGCACTAAACTATGGGCTTGTGGCATGGATTTGTGTTCACAATGATTTTTTTCTTAAAAAAAAAAAATCTAATTCCTGCCTAAATTAGAGGAAATTGTGATCTTCATTAAGAAAAAAAAGGAAATCATCCTAATGACTCCTACACAATTCCCTTAATCAAATTTGTTAGAGAGAAAAATAGAGCAAAATTGGGGAAATTTTCTGAAAAGTAGGGTAGAGGAGGGATTAGGGTTTCCAGGTAAAATGTAGGATGCCCATTTAATTTTGAATTTCATATGAACAATGAATCATTTTTAGTGTAAGTATACCCTGGTGCAGTATTTGGGCATGCTTACACTAAAAAATTTTAACTGTTCATCTGAAATTTGAAGTGAATTGAGCAGCCTGTACCTTTATTTTTAATTTTTTTTGGGGGGGCCACACCCTGTGGCTTATGGGATCTTAGTTTCCTGCCCAGGGATTGAATCTGGGCCTGGGAAGTGAAAGTGCTGAGTCCTGACCACTGGACCTCCAGGGAACTCCCAAGGGCATCCTGTTTTGTTTTTTTTTAAATATTTCTTTATTTATTTGACTGTGCTTAGTTATGGTATGTGGGATCCAGTTCCCTGACCAGGGATTGAACATGGGCCCCCTGCACTGGGAGTGCAGAGTCTTAGCCATCGGACCAGCAGGGAAGTCCGGACATCCTGTGTTTTTAAAATACAGTGATTGGGACTGACATTCTTGGAGAGCTCACTGCATGTGTCAATTTTCTACTAACCACTTTAATACCTGAATTCTTTTTCTACTCACAGAAAGCCAGCGAGGCTGAGGATTGGTAACAAATATCCTCCAAAATCTATGGTGATGTTTATGAAGGAGCTCAACGTATTTACTTAATGGGAGTTGAAAGGAAGAGCAATGAATATTTTGAAAGTTGAGATGGTTTAATGTAGACTGGTATATACTTGTCTCTTCTTAAAAGCAATAAAAAAAAAATGCAGCAGTTAAAGACAATCTAATTTGGTAAAAATGCTAAAGAACCTGCCTGGCCTTCAAAAGAGAAGAGACGCTGTGAGATAAATTAATTTATTCCATTGACGTTTCATCATCTGTGCAAGCTGTGATTCCGAGCCCTCTGGCAATAATGAATTAACAGGTTTATGGGATGTTAATATCCCTGAACAGTGGAGGATAACCAGGGAATGTAGTGCTGAGTTAAAATGGAAAAGAGTTTTGTTAGGAGTTCTTTCAGCAGGGAGTAAAGTACTGATGTGGGAACCGAGCTTCAATTTACAACTAAGGATCACATTAAACACACATTAAGATGATTACAGGGAAGCTTATTGTAACCATTATTATTTCATTTTATTTAAATGAATGGGGGCTTAATATGAACCATCAAGTGAGCTGCAATGACTAAAATCTTCTATCTTCTTTAGCTAATCTGGAAATTTCTGACAAAAGTTTACTGTGCTGAATAGGCTCCAGGACCAACAGGTCTGTTTTCCAATGAACGAAGGAAGCAATCAGCTTCAAAAAAAAAACCCATGACCTTCAGAAAAGGTCATGGAAGTTCCTCCAGTCCCTTCAACATCACCTCTGAGACATCTTTTGTTTCTGAGGGTGTGGGTACTAAGCCAGAGACTGACTCCTTGTCACCTGAAATGAGGTTGGTAACAAAAACTCCCATCTAATCCTCTTTCTTTCAACATTTTCTCACCCACCCACCCCTTCAGTCCAGATCCCTTCATTCTTAAAAATTATTATTTATCTATTTTTGGCTGCACTGGGTCTCCATTGCTTTGGGCTTTCTCCAGCCGTGGCGAGCAGGGGCTACACTCTAGTTGCGATGTGAGGGCTTCTCCTTGTAGTGACTTTTGTTGCAGTGCAAGAGGGCTCTAGGGTGGGTGGGCTCCAATAGTTGTGGCTCGAGGGGTGAGTTGCCAGAGACACGTGGCATTTCCCCAGATCAGGGATGGAGCCCATGTCCCCTACATTAGCAGGTGAATTCTTAACCACTGGACCACCAGAGAGTCCATTCTTTTTTCTTTAATATTTATTTTTATTTATTTATTTCTTTGGCTGCAACAGTTCTTAGTTGCAGCACACGGAATCGTTGATCTTCCTTGGGTTGTGCAGGAGCTTTTAGCTGAGGCATGTAGGGTCTAGTTCCCTGACCAGGGATTGAACCCAGGTCCCCTGCATTGGGATCACAGTCTTAGCCACTGGACTACCAGGGAAGTACCCCCAGACCCCTTCCTTCTTAATGGAATTTCTCCAGCCTTGATCTGAATGGAGGGGGGTGCTTTGATTTGAAGCTGGGTATGCCCAGTAAACACAAGGTTTTTGTTTAGTGTGGTTACAGATGAATAAAAAGAGCTATGCTTTGTGTAAATGTTAATATCATTTTCTTTTCTAAAAATTACTTTTCTTTGGATGGGTTTCAGTGGGTGGGGTTGAAACGATGGA